TTGTGCAGAATGTCGAATCGTCTATCTGCTCAGCCAAGTCTGTTGCTGAATTGCTGTGCAACTTCGTCTCTTGGACTGCAGCTATCAATATACCATGCCGACACATTAAGACGGTTATCTCCTCAATCTTGCTTATCGTATTTTCCTACCGGGTTAATCATGCGGAGCAGTTCTCTTGTTCTCACCAATACAGTCACAGTTTAACTTTTGCCGACCACTGCTGTAAAGTAAATGGTTCTGGTATGAGTCAAGGAAGATGATAATCAATCGCTTATAGGGAATTTACATGAGGCGATTTTTCAGGCGATTTTTAGTTGAATGCAACAATCGCCTGGTGTAAACGGCCTTTCAACTAATCGCTTTCAATGAAGTTGGTCGGCTGCCTACTTTCGTTCAACTTTTGGTTCAACTAATCGCCTGTGAAAGTTGAATCATGTAAATTGCCTAATAAATTCTCTAAATTAAAAGCCGTGGGGTCTAAAAGTACGCAATATGCAACCGTCCGTCGTCCGACACGAAGCGCCAATCGCGACTGTGTAAGGATAAGAACATAGTGGAGCGGCGAGCAAAGAGCATCGAGCAAAGCGTCGATTTCAAACGCATATGTTTCAATGGGAAAGCGCATAGTGAAGAGCAAAGCCTACATACACATTTGTAACTGAAGCTTTGCTCGATGCTAGCTCTTCGCTTTCCTCGGCGCTCCACTATGTTTTCACCCTAAGCTAACGTTTAATATTCTCACAGCGTCATAATCCCCCAGAAAACTAAAAGTGCAACATCAAAGAATTCAAATTACTATATTCGAAGCAATCGAGCCATAACCGCGAAAGAGACGTAAGCTCCAAATGTTTTTATTTGGCGTTTTTTAATCAAAATTCCATAATTTTTCCACAAATTAATAGCTTCTTCATATGTATCTATTGTAAATGGTACCGCAAAGATTTTACAAGGCAAACAAACACACCAAAAAAGTAGCTCAAAGTGGACCACCCATCCCGAGTTATGCGCCGTCTGACGTACGCAACTTTCGTATATACAGATGCGTGCAACTAATTAGCAACGAAATTTAAAACGATATTGCTTGCAAATTATGTATATTAATCAAACTTAAAAAAATCGTCATCAAAATTTCAAAATTTTTAATTAGAATATATAGAAAATGTTGGGGTATGCAGCTTTGTAGCCCATTCAATTTTAGTATAATAACAAAACTGCATACCCGAAAATTTTCTAAATAGTCTAATTAAAATTTTTGTAATTTTGATGAAAATTTTTTGAAGTTTGATTATTTTTTTTGCAATTTGTGCAAGTTTTGCAACTTTTGTTATTGTGGTTTCTGATATAGATTGAATTATATTTTCAATGAAAATTATTAAAAATAGATAAATAATCATAATTTGCAAGCAATATCGTTTTGAATTTCGTTGCTAATTAGTTGCACGCATCTGTACATACATTAGAGCCTGTCAGACGTGGCAATATTTCCGTCTTTCGCACGCAATTCGCTGTCAAATTGAGAAAGAGAAATTTTATTTCGATGTGTAACAGCCAGAAAGATCTTTCTGTCACTTTTCGGAAATCAGTTTCAGAAATAAAAAATGTAAGGTCTGACTGCAACTGCAAGAGCGAAAATCGATTTCGGAAATATATTTCAACTTGCTCGTGCTGCACTAGCAATTTTTATTTCTTCTGCAAGTGCTGTCAAACTAATCGAGTGTTGCCGTGTGGCACTGATCGTGAATTTGTGTAAACTGATAAAAAATATTGTTGAATTAAATATCAAAAATGCTTGAAATATATTATTTTGCTCAATAATACTTAATCGTTAAATTAATGTTCACACGGCAAATATGTTAATTATAACCTATATTTTGTGGTTTTGATTTTTTTGTCTTACCCAAACAGACCGGCGTGTACGCGAATCATCCACTTCTATTTTTTTAATAATAATGGCAATAATTTTCAATAAAATTGCTTTCTTTTTCAACAGCAGCTTACGTCGAGTATTCATTTTTCGCGTTTTCGTTCTCGCTTTTACAAGAGAAATAGCAAACAAACGACAACCCCACCGCCCATGGTTGCATTTTAGTATCGAGATACGATTGCCAGAAACTCATTCGCTAGATTTTTAACTATGGTTCCGTAGATCCACTCTCCCGTTTTTCTTAAACAAAGTAAGGTCTCCTACGTTCAGTAAGGGCAATGCCTTTGCGCCCCTATCAAAGTAATATTTTTGCCTTGCTTTCTTTTCTTCTAACTTTCCTTGTATTCGACTCTCTGTCAGATTGTTTCTACACAAAAGCGATTTCGATACTGGTAATTTTGTTTTTAGTAATCTCCCACTAAACAACTGACATGGCGCTACCCCCATGCCCGCCACGGGAGTTGCATTGAATTCCAAGATGCGGTACTGATATTGTTCCCAGTCGTGTGCATGCAACATCTTTTTAGAATGTTTTTTGCAATTGCCACGCCTTTTTCGGCTAGACCGTTACTTTGGGCATATGTTGGACTCGAGTATTGCAATATGATGTTGCATTCATCAGCGAATTTATCAAATGCCTCTCAGTTGAACGGACTATTGTCGCATTTGAGTTTCGTTGGATATCCTCAGCGATTGAATCGTCGCTTAAGTTTATCAATAATATGATTCGCCGATTTGTTTTCCAGTTGCTCTACCATCAGAAACCCTGAGTATGAATCGATGATCGAGATGAAGGGTTTACCAGCGTATTCAAAAATGTTCATTCCAGCTATGTGGAATGGGTATTCAGGTATTTCGTCTTGAACTAGTGGCTCCTTTTGGTTGTTCCGTTTGAACTGTTCACAGATTTCACAGGCTGCTACACACTCTTTGATCTGAGAGTTCATGTTTGGCCAGTAGTAGTGCACTCGCGCGCGAGCAAGCGTTTTTTCTATCCGTAGATGTGTAGCATGAATTAGCTTGATAATACGGCCTTGCAATTCAGATGGAATCACAAGACCACAGTTGCGAAACAGAAGTCCATTTTCAAAATGTAGCTCTGACTTGTATCTGTGAAATATCCGACTGAAATCATCTAACTGGTGGTATGAAGGCCATCCCGACTTTACATATACACAAACACGTTTGAGTTTTTCGTCCCTTTCGAGTATTAAACAGTAAAATTTGTAGTTTTCTTCTGAGAGGCATACGGAACGGGTTATTGAATGGATCACGTGAGAAAGTTCCGGAATTTCGTCCACCTCGACCAATTGTGCCCGTGACAGACAGTCGGCGAGTGCCAAATCTCTTCCGGGCTTATACATCACTTCCATCTTTGGGTATCTTAATAAATACATAAGCATGCGTTGTAGTCGGACAGTTACGTCATCTATGTCCCTTTTAATTAAAGTTTCGAAGGGCTTGTGGTCACTTTCCACGGTGAAGTCCCGCCCATACACGTAGTAGTGGAAACGTTGACAAGCAAATACGATAGCTAGTAGCTCTTTTTCTATTTGGGCCCACTTTTGTTCGCTGCGACCCAATGTCCTCGATGCATAAGCCACTGGTCGTCCATTCTGCAATAGGACGCAACCTAGTCCGTCCTTAGAGGCGTCCGTTTGTATGGTCACTGGCTTTGTTTTGTCGTAGACGGCTAATACTGGGTCTGACGCAATAATATTTAGTAAGTCTCGAAACTCCTCGTCATGTTGTTGATTCCACGTAAATGCTACATCGTTTCTCGTTAGGTTTCGCAGTTGAGCTGATTTCTGCGATAAATTTGGTATGAACTTTGCGAGATATTTCACAAGACCCAGTAGCCGAAGAACGTCCGATTTACTTTCAGGTTTTTTAATCTTCAGAATTGCCTCTAAGTATTTTCTTTTTGGTTTTACCTGACCGTACGATAACACATGACCCATAAATTCCACCTGCTGTGTGCGATATTGAACCTTTTCTGGGTTAAATGTTACCCCATTTCGCCTCGCCCGCTCAAGGACCATCGATAGCGCTTTATCGTGCTCGACCGCGGTTTCACCCATTATGCAGATATCATCGAAGTACACGACAACACCTGGTATATCACCGAATATCTGTATCATATTACGCTGAAACATTTCGGATGCGTTGTTGATGCCAAACGGTACGCGGTTGAACTTAAATCGGCCAAAGGGAGTCATGAATGTGGTTAGATCAGAGCTTTTTTGATCTAACTCCATTTGCCAAAATCCATTGGATAAGTCGAGAACTGTGAAAAATTGTTTGTTAGCCATTTGGCTGATAAAGTCATCAATTGTTGGGATCAGGAAGTGCTCACGCTTAGTTGCGCGGTTTAATGGTTTTGGGTCTAAGCAGAGTCTTATTTTCCCATTCGACTTTTCCACTATCTGCAAATTGTTCACCCAATCCGTAGGGTATGTTACCGGTGTAATAATACCATCCTGTGTCAATAGTTTTATTTGGTTTTCCAAAGGTTCAAGCAGACTGTGGGAAATGCGTTTTTTGTAGTGTAGTGCCGGTTCCGCATTTTCTTTCAAAACTATTGTTTGTTTGTGAGGAAACTTCCCTAACCCCTCAAACACGTCCCTATTTCCCTCTAAAAGTGTTTCTATTGTTTGAGGCAAGCATACAACCGAATCTATGTCTAAGCGTTTGACCAAATTGAAATCTACAGCTGTTTTTAACCCCAATATCGCTTCGAAATTGTTATCCACAACTAAAAATATTGATCGTTTATTCGTTTTATTTTTTGGGTCAACACAGTTTAATTCAACAGAACCAAAAATTTTAATTTTATTATTATTATAGTCATACACAGAATCGTTCGTATTCCTGTTTGCAATTTTCAACTTCAAGGCTGATATTAATTTGATCGGGACGCAACTGACATCGGCCCCAGTATCGATCTTAAAAACTACGGATTGGTTTCCTATGTGATACTCCTTTGTCCACTTAGCTCTGCTTACCCCAATACGACTTATTCTACAAGGAAAGTTTTTGTTACTAAATACACCTGCAACCCCGTCAACTAATCCACTACTGTTACCTGATTCATCGGCCCAGTTGACTGCTGATAACTTCTTTGGCTTCACTGACAAGTTCTTCGGTTTGAATCCACTCTCTGGCTTGGACGTTGTCTGCTTGCAGAATTTGCTGAAATTGCCTTGGCGTCCACAATTATGGCAACTGATTCCACGTGCGCGGCAATCTTTAAGATGACCGGGTATGAAAAGCGAGCCGCAGTTGTAGCAACGACGTGTGATAGCGCGAACTTCTGGCATGTCACATTCCGCGGAGTACACTGTTTGATGCACGATTGTCTTGTCCAGCAAGGATTTGTTTTTGTGTACCGCTTCAAATGTCTTGCACTTGTCCACTATTTCGGGCAGTGTTTCTTTTTTTGTGTCCAACAACCTCAATTGCAATTTTTTATCGCTGACACCGATGACGATTTGGTCAATCAGCATGCTGTTTTCATACGATTTACCGCACTCACACTTGAACTCACAATACTGTATTTGCTTGCGTAATTCGGTCTCAAAGTCTGCGAATGACTGCTTTTCTTTTTGCTTAATGTTGTTGAACTTAAACGATTCCATAGTTGGATTTTTTTTAGGAATGCAAAAGTTTTCGAATGACTGCAGAACTTCATCGAGAGTACGGGTGCCCGATGACGTTTGTCGTTCTGTTGAACCCGTCTGATCACCAACTATTCCGTTTGTGGTACCATCGTCGTAGAGTTCTGCTGCCTTAGGTCCGGCTAGCCATAAAAATGTGGCGATTTTTTTAGGTTCAGGATCCATGTCCTTGCCGTTCGCTAGCAAGAACATCAGAATAGTTCGTTTCCATATTGGCCAGTCACACGCTAAATTTGAGCAGTCGAGTGGTTCTGGCAAACGCGTGTTTGAAGCCATTTGACTCAACAGTGACACTATAATGTTCTCGAAGGGTAACGTTGGATGGTTGCTTCGCTCTCTGCTCCACAAATGTTACGGATCGTGTGAGATAGCGTTGATAAAACTGGATTCTGTTCTGCGGCTGCTTCCACAAGTTGCTGATTTCCACGTGTGGCTAGTTTCCACTTGTTTTTTCTTGATAATTCCACGGTTGGTTTCAATCCTGCAAAAATTTTCGTAGTTTTTCTTCCACTTAACAAGTTCTGGGCGTATTGTGTCCAATTCTGACACCATGTATTAATTNTGTTAATTGCGGAAAGACTATCGGTGCAGATAATAAACTTCTTGTTTTTTTTTTTTTTTTTTGGTTTTGGGTTGTGTTGGCAAAGCGGAGCGCTACATAAGCCAGGTTATTCCTCTAAGTTGTGAACCGTGTTATTCGCTGCTTATTTAGATCGATTTGCTGCTAGTGGTGTTCTGGGTAATTGTCTTCCTTATTTCTTTGTGAGTTTGCCGTTTGATTAAACGAATGCACATCCGAGCGACTTTTGTGTTTTTAATGAGTTGTTTGGTTGCTCGCCGTTTTTCAGCTACTGATTTATGTTGGTGTGTCCGAAATGACAGCACAAAAGTCAGAATTTGCGCTGCCGTTTGGTTTTGTTTCCAGGTGCATGTTTGTATATGCCGGAGGGCTTGTACGGCCCCCAAATACGCGCTGAGCGAATGCGTTNTTTTTTTTTTTTTTTTTTTTTTAGAAAAGTATTTAAAGCGAGATTTGTGCTTCTTCGATAAACAGTACAAGTTGTGATAGTTTGCCAGGGTTCATACCTTAGAGTATCTCGTCTAGGTTGTTCGAGTTTTTTATTACATCAAATCTTTCTCTGATGATTTTGAGTCTTTCACAATGTAGAATTAAATGGGTGTAGTTGCTAATCTGACCACACACGCATGCGTTTGAGTTTATTGCTTTGATTTTAAATAAGTAAGATTTATCATACGTATAGCCAGTTAAAATTCTATTAATGATTTGGATTTGCTTGGGCGTAAGTGGACATTTTCTAAACCATGGGTGAGTTGGACTGGTATTAAAAATGCGGGAAAAAAATGTTCGGTTTATCATTGGAGAAACTTAAAAAATCATTGTACCAGGTGTTCTTTATCTGATTATAAATGTTCCTACTGGCTTCGGTGGCTGTTAATTTTACCTCAATGGTTTGTGCATGTTCAGACGCTTTTTTAGCTAGTTGGTCAGCCCTTTCGTTACCACTTATTCCAACATGTGCTGGTGTCCAGATCACATGGACGAGAATAGGAGATTCTTTGATGATTTTGTGGATTAGGTTGATGTAATAGTTATCTGTATGCTCTTTTTTTAGCAACTGACATGCTACTAAGCTGTCCGTGAATATCACTATTTTATCATAGCTGTTTGTGGTCGCTGTTTGCAAGGTTTTCCAAATTGCAATAACCTCACCGAAGCTCGAGGATGTATTAAAATTTATTTTATACATGTGTTCTATATCATTGGAAAGGTCGTATATGCCAATCCCTGCACAGTTTTGTTGTATGGAAGCATCCGTGTAAAAAATTTTGAAAAGTGATCTTCTGTAATCATGTAGGATACTCGCATATGTTGCGAGGGCCGTCTCCTTGGGTGTGTTGCGTTTGCTGTTGGACAGGAGATTGGTCAAGACAATTAAGTTAGGGGGAGGGAGCAAGTGATCAGCGGACCCTAGGAGGTCAAAAAAGTGTTTAAATTCCAAGTAGGTTTTACTGTAGCTGGAGTTTAAGTAGGGGTGGTTAATAATGTCTGATTTAAATGGATCGTCGGAGGTAAGTATTTTTAACAGCTCTTTGGCGGTGAGCCATTTGGCTCTCTCTAATGGCGGAAGCTCATTTGCAAGTGCGTAAATTAAGGGAATTGGTGTGGCTGGTGTTATTCCAAGCGCCCTTCTCAGGAAGCTATTTTGAAACGTTCTGATTTTCTTGTTGACTATTACAGTACTATTTGCAGCTGACGTTCGGCAGTATTCAACTTTGGATCTGACGAAAGACTTGTAAAAATTAAGCGCAACATTTGGTCTTAGTCCTGATTTTACAGTGGTGATCATTTTGAAAAGTTTGGAATTGTTCTTGGAGTTGGCAATTACAGAATTGTAGTGCTCTGTCAGTGTAAGAGAAGTATTGATATATCTACCTAGGAATTTTATAGCGTTCGTTTGCTCAATTTGAGTGTTTTCTAAAGTTATTTGAATACGTTTTTTACTGCCCTTGCTGACATACAATATTTTGGTTTTCAGTGGGTTGCAAGAGAGGTTTAGATTTTTCGCTATTTCATTAAACATAGTAATTTTTTGTTGCAGCCTACATGTTGCACTTTCCACGTCATCCCCGTCCGAGCAAATCACAAAATCATCTGCGAATTGGATGATGCTAGTGTTTTCATCTCTGATATTGTGTAAGTCTTTGGTATATATATTAAATAGGAGTGGGGAGAGGCAGCTACCCTGTGGTAGACCACCACTGATGTAGATTGACTCTTCCGCTAGTATAAGATTTCTTAATGCCAGTACATTTATGATCCACTCAGCGTAGTTTGAATTGATTCCTACATTGTTTATAATAACAGCTAGTTTGTTTATGTCTACACAATTGTAGGCATTGCTGATGTCAGTGGCACAGAAAATGATTTTTTTGCCTTTATGTTTTTTAATAGCCGTTTTATGCAGAAGATAGTTAACTGCCATGGTCGCCGACTTCTTTTTCCTATATGCAAAGGAGGAGTGCGGTAGAATATTATTGAGTTGTAAGAACTCTTCTAATCTATTTTTAACACATAGGTTTATACATTTTAGTAACACTGAAATTAACGCTATAGGACGAAAATTCCTAAAATTGTCAAGGTCCCTATCTTTCTTGGGGATTTTTTTCCATTCTCTTTTCTGTGCAGCAATATTGTCTAAATTTTGTATAGAGGGTTGAAGTTTGCATTTCTGATATGCCACTTTAAGGAGTCTAAAAGTCTTTGCCAACTCAGGGTTCCACCACGCTTTGGGTTTTCTCCTACTGTCAAGATTGTAAGAGGCATCGCGAATGGCATCTGAGAAAGTATTTTCAAAGTTACTAATATCTGGTTCTATTTCTGCATTGCTCAGAATTTCTGTGAGTTTGTTTTGCGACAAAAATTGACAATTGGAAGAAGTTCTAATATTTGATTCAAGGGTAATCGGGAAATGGTGGCTTCCACCGATTCTAATTGGGTCAACTGACCATTTAAAGTTTACGTTGGAGTTGGTTAGGGAGAGGTCTAAAACAGAACCTGCTTCTAGACTAAGGTCTCTTTTAAAAGTAAGGGAGCCATCGTTTAGTGTAAGGAAGTTGTATTGACTTAAAATGTTAGCAAGATTATTCCCTCTGCACGAGTTTATAGTGTCACCCCACTCTGTAGCTCTTGCGTTGAAATCTCCTAAGATTAAAACATTGTTAAAATTTTCTAGCACATTTAGCATTTTTTTTACTTCTTTAAAATCGTTAATTCGGATGTTTGGGGGGAAGTATACCGCACAAAATGTAATGTTGGGGGCTAGATTTTTGGTTTGTACTATGAGAATGTCATGTTGTGTTGTGTATTTTATTCTATTAAACTTAATATGTTTTTTAAGAAGGATGGCTACGCCGCCATAGCCATCTTCTCTGTGTTTACCTATGGTTTTAAAATTTAAGACTTTTCTGCTGTTAGAGTCATTATGTGAGAAGGTTTCACATAATACTGCTATGTCATAGTTGTAATTATTTAAAAAGAATTCAATTGAGTTTATATTTGCATTTAAAGACTGACAGTTATATTGTAAGATCTTCATATACTATTTTTTCCCTACCTCCTATCGAGCGGGCTTCCTCGTCAATTGCATTGCTGTCAAATTTTAATTTAAGATTTTGAATAAGTTCTAGTTCTGTGGTTAGTTTGTTTTCTATGCAAAGGTTTTGGGTGATTTTAAACATTTCTGTTAGGAGTTTCTCCATTTCGGAAACTCTTCCTCTTTGATACTCCAGTGTTTGATAGACCGGTACTGTCTTTGTATGACTAGTGTTGAAAGATTTTTTAACTATATTTTTTCCCCCGATTGCCGCTTCTTTCGCAACCCTGTTGTAGCTTTTCTTGGTCAGCCGTCTGTTAATTACTTCGTTTTTGTCCTGAACCTCTGTTTCACTGCTTAACTGTGGGAAATTTGTCTCTTCGTCAATCAGTATGTCAAATCTATTGTGTCTATTTGGATAGTATGTTTCAAGCGCTTCCCTTCTTGACAGCTTTTTGATCGTTCTGATCCTGTTGATCGTTTGCTCCCTCTCCCATACCTCGCATTTTTGCTTATCAGTGGATACGTGATCACTTTTTCCGCAAAGTATGCATGTATTTTTATTGCAAGTGGTTAAATTACACTCCTCATTTCCGCAGTACAAGCACCTGTTTTTACCTTTACATGCTAGCTGGGTATGCCCAAGCCGGCCACATTTCCTACACTGTCGCAGTGGGGGTATGAAGAAATTTACTTCCAGTCTTGTATAGTCAAATTTTATATTTTTCGGTATTTCTTTACCTAGAAAGCCTATTTTTACTGTGGTTGTTGGTACAAACACGTCTTCATTTTCATTTCGTTCCCTACGTGTGAAACGGTGCACTGAGGAAATGGGTATTGACGAGATCGCATTTCTTTTTATGTCTTCCACATTATATTCGAGAGGGATACCCCTCACAACCCCGTACGTCTCGAAAGCCGTGTTGGGTATGAAAGGTCTTAAGCCTCTTTTTTTTAATTCATCATTTTTTAAGAACCTATTTGCCGCTTCTGCCGATTTGAACGTTACCTTAAACAGGGTTCTACCCACCGCTAAGATTAAGTCCACGTCCATAAAGTTAATGTCTTTTATTTGACTTCTTAGAGCAAAACCGTTTCTAATTTTGTCGCTGTTCATCGACTTACATTCTGAGGCGTCAACCAATACAAAAAAGTGTCCGTTAAAGTTAGCTGGGTATTCGGGCGATGCATTTACATTGTCACTGTCCTTTGTCTTTGTCTTTGAACTACCGCTATCCGTCCGCGAAAGATCTACGTCCATTTTTCCCGCATTTTCTGTCGCGCTACCCTTTTCGATTCTATGCACTAAATCACATTTCATACTTTCAGTAATCAAATTTTCACTTATTTTGCCACTCAGGACAAAATCACTACTTCTTTTAGGCTTTTTGGTTTTATGATTAATGTTTAAATTGTTTGAGAAAGACTCAAAATCGTCTGCCGATGCCGCCACCAACTTTAGAGTCGGTGGCGCCATATTGTATTTTTGTTTGCCGTTGCCGGCACTTTTAACTCTAAAAACACAACTCTATACAGAGAAAAATTAAAAGGTATGTATAAATTGCAAAATACTCACAACCTGTTTGCTGCTTCTGCTTTCAAAGAAAAAGATTTGTTAAGATATTACAAAAATGAAATAGCCGGAGCACAAGAAAAAAACGGCTTAGTTAACTGTATTTCTACACAATATTAAACACCAAAGAAACGAGACGTCCAACACCATTCACTGTCACGCTGCGAATGGATCTTTATTCATTAATTGCGTGCTAACGCTTTTACATATACTTCGTGTCTAACTCTCATGTACATATATAACCCAGCAATACGTATCGTGTTGCCAGATCATAGGGTTAACTAAATACATAAACAGTAGTGGAAGGGTTGCATTTGTATTATAGAAATACATAATATTACAGTGTGAACAGCCAAAGAGCGATTTCAGAAATTTTTCCTGCAATTCGCCTTTCAGAAATAAAAACCTCTTTCGAAAGACACTTTCCATGCAAGGTGTGACTGCTCATGCAACTGATTTCTCAATTTGACAGCCTTTCCGAAATTTATTGCATTGAAATATATTGCCACGTCTGACATGCTCTATACATTCATAGAAATATTTATTTTTAAAAACAATCAGGTGTTATATTCGATGTAAATAAGCTGGTTTAAATTAAATAATTAAATAAAATTCGTTTTTGTTTTAAACTACCACTAGCACTGTTATCCCAACCTTTTTGTGGAATTTAGCTACCATTTTAGGAAGTGTGATTGAATTCTTCCCCTTTTTCCTGCATCCCTGTGGGTGGGAGTGTCAAATTTTAGAAAAAAGATACTTACAAAACCTTTCAATATTGAATCATGATAGTTACGATGGGATTACAGCATACCAATTTTCGAATTTTCGGAACGGAGCTACGAATTTGTAACTACGAACATTCGGATTATAGCATACGGGTGATTGACTACAACTTTTTCGATAATTTAGTAAAGATTTGATTGGTGATGCAGTCATATTATTCTAATCAATATCTTAAAAATGGCGTTCTCCATTTTTGGATATCTCCTTTAGTTTCCGAGATATTGAGTAAAAAGTGCCGTTAATTTGGTAGAAATTTTGCACACATCACATTTTGTCGTATTTCATAAAAAGTGGTTGCCAAATTGTGGACGGATGATGCTTACTACACAATTTTACTAAAGAAAATCCTTCATAAACTTAAAACTAATTAACAATAAACATTATTTATTTTACAATTTTGGGTAATTCTCTAGTATAGGGTAACAACCGCTAAAAAAGTCCGGAAATGTCGGAGGGGTACCGTATTAACAATCCGGAGGGGGAGGGCTAATATTATTAACCATATAAAAGTTATAAACACAAACTTTCGGAAAATTTCGATGTTTTGTATGGGCAATTACCCCGACAAAAATTCACTAAATCACCTCTTCTCACCTTTTAAACACTATTAAAATACATAGTTTAATTATTAAACAAACACATAGTTTTACCAACCTAAGATAGATTTTGTTACTAAAAAGAAGTTGACAATAATTGCGTTTGTTTACTCATTTCCAGTAAAATCCAGTAAAGTTTTTACGAATTTTCATGTTTTGGCGTTTTCGTACACAAAAACTTGCAAAGTAGGGGAAATTGAGAGAGCAAAAAATGACAGTTGAAGTTGCAAGTTTTTACTGGATTTTACTGGGTAAATTTTTACTTGTAAGAATTTGCCAGTACGAAAAACAGTTGATCGCATGTTGCTGGATGCAATTTAAACTAATAAGAAAACTGTTTGTGGGTTTTTATTGTTGAATTTCACAAACTAAACCTATCTAAATATAAAATACATTGTTTTATTAGGAAATTCCTGTGAATAAACAACCAATTTATCAGCTGTTCATGAAACTTGCAAATTATTACTGGAATAGCGTTCGCGTATTTTTTTGTAAATTTTGTCTATGAGAGCGAATTCTTAGAAATAAAGTTACTGGAGAGTTGCTGGCAAGTTACTGGATAATTTTTAAACAAACACAACTTATCTTTGCGAACTGAAACGCGAGATTCCAAAATAGCTATAATGCTGCCACTGTATTAGTATTTCGTAATAATTCACTTTTCCTACAAAGGGGTGTGCAGTGTTCAATGCTTTTCGTTATCTTCTTTCGTTTGATATATAGATTAAATATATAAATAATGAAGTGCGACTTTACCATTACAACCTCAAAATCGCGCGATTATTTAAAATTTTCGACTGCGGCGCTTTTTCCATAAAAATCAATACTTCGATAAATAATGAGAGGTTGTAATGGTAAAATCGCACCTGTGGCACTCCATGACGCATCCTTTTAATTTCAGATGAAGTAACTGTAAACCATAAAAGTAGCGCTGCCATGTTATAGCGAAATTTGCTATTATATTTTGGTTAGAATATTTTATTAAGGTGAAAGAAAGAAAACAACAAAGAAAACATCAAAGAGGTTCGAATCATCGGTAAAATATATAGCAATAGTTCTGAAATCGCTGACAAGTTAAACAATTTCTTTGTTGATAGTATCATCGATATTAATAGGAATATAGAAAACATTAATTATGATCCGATTCAACAGGAATATGGTCGCGGGACCTTTAAATTTTGAGAGATTAGTACAGATGATATTATCCATGTAATCAAAGACTCCGTTGAACACATGGGCAGAGAACTTAGATAGATAGAGAAGGTGCAAACTGAAAGTGGAAACTATTCGCAGACGAAAAATTAACAGCGTTAGAAAAGTTCAAGTCGGAATGTAGAAATTCTGTTGAATTTAATGTTGATAACATAATAAAATGTTGAGCAACATCAAATCTGCTCTTCTTCGTGTTGCGAGCAAACAAACGAAAATATGGCAAATCTAATTTTCATTAATTTGTAATTTTTGTTAAATTTTTTAACTTGTTCTCTTCTTGTGAAGATGCAAATACAGTTTAATAAAATTATAATTTTGCATAAAATTTACACACATACTACATATGTACATGTATGTACACTGGTAATCAAAAGTGAGTGCATGGTTTTTTTGTTTAATATTTGCAAAGTTTTTCAAGTTAAAATATTTTGGTTATTTTTTTACAAAAATGTGGTTCATGCTTTAATTAAAACTACATAAGTCAAACTTTACACAGAACATAGAAAAATTCAACGAATTCTCGTCTAAATTTTGACCTGTTTAATCTGAGTTTTTAGAAAAATTTTGAGTACGCAGATAGATTGGTTTTTTAATTATAGTGGAACCAGATCAAGTTTCAATCGGGTTGATTTTTAATGATTTTTTATTGCTGACGGCTTTTTGCACTTTTAACCAAATAAAAGGGAATCTCTTGTAGAATTAACCATGATCGTTTGCAAACAAATTAAAAAAAAATTGCGCTATTTTATACAAATTGCACTTGTTATATGCATAAAACCGCAAAACCCGTCGAAAATAACAAAAAAATTTAACTTAAAAACATTGCAAATATTAAACAAAAAACACCATGCACTCACTTTTGATTGCCAGTGTACATAGGTACATATTTGTGTTTATAATTAACTACTTATGAAATAATTTTTGTGGCACGAACATATACATACATATATACTTGCGCTTTCTAAAAATGGGAATAAAAATTGGATTCGCATAAAATTTTAATTCCAATAACTAATATTTTAGTGAAAACATTTACAATAAAGCTTTCAGTAACTTTTGGCAAATTTGAGCGATTATGAGAAATTATACATGCGTTTGTACCTACATATCCATTTATATTATTTTAAAAAAGCTAATAGTAAAATTTAAAATGAATATATAAATAAAAAAAAAAACAAGAAAAAAATTATTACTTGGTCCGTCCGGGATTTGAACCAAGACAAACGGCGAGACGCCAAAAAGTTGCATCGCCTCTAGCGTACACGCCACAGCATATTACTGAAATGGCAATCTCTAAATCACGACATATATGAAATTTTTCATCCATCCAAAAAGACAAACGCATAAATATGTGTGCATTTATAAATGTAAATATGTGCATAAATATGTACGATTGATCTGCTTTCGTCTTCCCCTCGCCGTCCTCCATCAACAGACAAATTATTAAATTTCTGCGAATTTCCACGACGCCACCAAAATTAACCCTTGGTTGACGAAATATTTAGATTTTCGCATAAGTTTACATTTAATAAAGCCATACTCGTACATTTTATATGGAGAATAATATTAATTAATTTAAAATTCTACATGTAATCATGTTCTCGACGATACATGTAACTTTCATAAAGTTTAAACATAAAAATTGTGCTTCATTAACAGTTGCAACCAGCTGAAACCAAAAAAACTATGTCCGCTAAAATGGGTTAAAGGCTAACTGGAATTGACATTTTTTATACGCATACATGCATACATTCATATACACATGCACAGTGGAGTAGCACTAGCTTGAACATTGCATTGCTTGTACTTTGATGTGTTTGAATCTTTTATGGTACAAAAGATTTGCTTACGGATGAAAAATATTAAAAATCGTCCGTGCATATATGTAAATATATTTTTATAAACGCTTTGAAGTATAAAAATTTTTTAAATTAAAAAATAAATGAAACAATTTTTTGGAATTAATATAAATAGTGTTCAAGGCACATTGACCCACCTGTACAAAAATCGTGGCGCGTCATGAACAAAAATTTTACAATTTCGGACCGAAAAATGTGAAAACGAGCTAAGTTGCCACGTTACATTTGTGAACTTCCGATAAAACCACATATGTTTGTGATTTTATAAGTTTTGATTTTATTAAAAAAAATTAATGTATTTTCCTGCAGAAAACGTACACTTTTATTTAATGTTTATTAAAATTACACCTTAAAATACTAGTTAGTGGTTGAAATATTGGAAGGGAATAGAGAAATTGAGTGTTTTGTCAAAAACTACCAAAAATTACAAAAATTCGAGATAACTTATTTTACTGGATATAGAGAAATAATTGCCACTTTTCACTTGGCTGGCCGAGATTTCTTCAATTTTACATTTTAGAATTTTTGTGTCGGATTGATAAAGTTGCGCTTG